GGGTACTTGGAGGGGAGGGGGCAAACACACAAACACATATCCTTGGGGGTGGGGTGGGGGTGGTGCACATGTATCCCCAGAACTGAACTAGGGTAATTTTGGGTGGCATTGAGCCATTCACTGGGGATCGGGAGAAAGTAGTTGCAATAGAGATCGTTTCTAAACTTCATGGTGATATTGAAGAGCTAGGGAGAGTCCTCTTAAGAAGGGACTTTAGTCCTCGATGGAGGTCAAAATTAGAGATATGACTTATTCACAGACTGCCACTACCAGTCACATTCATGCACTCAGGGTCGCTTGATGTTTCCCTCACTGTGGCTTGTAAAAAAGAAGAGGGGTAGCCTCCTGGGAGCTCTGTTCTGTTTATTCCCCTGAGGGGTCTATTGGCTACACCTATCTCCGAACTCAGGAGAGCTTCCTTGAGGCACTAAGGACAACTCACTCGGGTGGGAGTGTAGTGGAGCGGTCATTCAGTGCCATCCAATCGACAGGAACAAGTGAGCGATCCTGGGGCCACTGGTTCCTGGCGACTCCTGGCCTTTGGAGTCAGACTGGGGATTTGAAAAGGAGGATTAAGTCTCAGCAAAGGGCTGGCTGCTAGGGTCCAAGGTAAGCCTGGGTTGAGCTGCTGCTGCCCGTTGCATCTCGGGTTGCAAAGCAGATCTGACCTCATCCAGAGGTAAACCAAGAGGAGAAGGCAAAGGCAGAAGCCTAGGCAGAAGTCTGTTTGCTTACTGTTGAGTAGCCCCACGCTGGGCACCAAATGTGGCACCTGCTCTGATGTGTCCAGTGGTCCTTGGCCTCGTGAACCGAAAAAGTGAGGCACAGACCACTAACAGCCAACAGAAAACAAAGTTTATCGAGAAAGAAAAGCACCTGACAGCAGGTGGAAACTCGAGTAAGTTGCCGCTGAAAGAACTGTGCCGGGAGGCTTTTGTCAGATGTGGGGTACTTGGCCTGTGTGTGTCTCCAGGTTATGAACAGGTGTGATCACATTCTGCAAGTCCAATCATAAGCCTGGTCATCCTCTGTCCAGGCTGGTTCTTGCACAGGGCTGGACAAGGAAGTAAGCAGGCTAAAAGAGTCATGGGTTTCCTGCCTTTGGAGTTCAAAATCAGCCTAGGGGTCCAGTGCCCAATGAGTTCAGATTTAAAATTCTTCTAGGCTGCCAAAATCTCTCCTCCAAACATCTGCCGCTCCCACTGCTTCCTGCTGGGCCTCTTTTCCTCTCTCTGCCTCCGGCTCTATCTCCTATCTCAATAATACCCATCATCAACCTCCAACCAATTACAGCCTAGGAACACCCATTTCCACTTCTCCCACTCCGCATATTATGAAATAATTCCCAGACATCCTATCATTTCATCCAGGCATAGCTTAGTAATGACCCGAAAAGAAATGTTGTAATAGGATGTAATTATATTATCTTAAAAATTAATGATTATTTAATACTATCAAGTATCCAGGGAGCCCTGGTGGCCCAGTGGTTTTGCATTGGACTGTGAATCTCAAGGTTAGCAGTGCAATACTACCAGTTGCTCTGTGGGAGAGAAAGGTGAGGCTTTCCACGTCCGTAAAGAGTTAGTCTTGGAAATCCACAGGCAGTGGTGTGACTCAAATAATTTAACAACTACTTCCCTGTCCGACTGACCAAAAAAGGATATACTGCAAGTTAGTTTTAGTTAATACTTAAATAAGGGCAATAAAGGAGGTCCACAAAACTAGATACGAGTTTTAAAGTATTAATGAAGGCATATTACATACCTGATTAAAAAAAACCTGTTAAGGTATTTCCATATTGCTTCTTGATTGGCATCCTCACTTGCAATGTTCTTCGCTTTTATCTGACCCTCCTTGGCTGTGTGATTTATCCTTAACCATCTTTTCACCGTAGGAGTAGGACCCCAACCTTCCTGATGCCACGACCCCCCCAACCATAAAATTATTTTCGTTGCTACTTCATAACTGTAATTTTGCTACTGTTATGAATCAGGTGACCCTGTGAAAGGGTCTTCCGACCCCCCAAAGGGGTCGAGACCCAGAGGTTGAGAACCGCTGCTTTAGAGGTAAGCTAGTTAGATAATTGTCACTGTGTTTGATACATTAGAAATAGTTGACTTCTCTTCTCTGAACATATTAAGTTCGTTTTGGAAAAGCCGCTTTTGCTCCTGCTGAACTTACAGCAATTGTTCTGACAATATTTTTAGTTCTTTGGACACTTTCAGGAATTGCACGATTCACTCGTAATATCTCGTGGGAATTTGGGGAAAAAGCACAAAGCTGAAACGTTCGACAGTGTGTCACCCACTCGTTGTTTGGTACTTTCTCTCTTTACGTTATATGTTTGTTTACCGAAGTGACAAACACAAGGGAGTAAAAATGTGCTATTTCATCAAAAGTATGAGTTTTATGAAATAAATATGACAAGCATAGTTCTAATGTTTATATCTATGGATGGAATGGTTAGAATTCAACACCTTACCATTGCATCTCCCTCTTGACCCATTTAAAATTTGTCCCAGTGTTTATATTTTCGCTTTATTTTAGGTAGAAGCTTTTCCATTTTAGTTTAGTTTCTTTTTTGGTGGGGGGTGGGGTGGGGTATGTTTTTCTGGACTTGAAATCTAGGATAGGCCAATCTACACAGACAGTAATTGGATTAATGGTTTCTTAGGGGTATGACATGGGTGCTAATTACACTAAGTACGAGAAAAAAGAAAATGCTCTAAAATGGATTGTGGTGATTGTATAATCATAACTGTACAATCATAAGATGATTATACAATCATAATATGATTGAACTATTGAACTGTATGATATGAACATTCTAAAGCAATAAAACTGTTAAAATATACTTTTTAAAATGGAAAAAATTATTAATTTGAAGGATAAGTAAATAAAAAACCTGAGTAGCAAAAATAATTTCAATGAACCAAAAGAATTTCAAAAAAGCAACTTATCATAAATTTCATCATATATTTTTTTAGGCAATATGAATCTATCGCTTACCATCCTATAGAAGCCAGGGTACCAAGACCAGCAGCTTTGAGGAGTCATCAGGCTGTGCTGTCTTTCGGAGCCCATCCCTTCACTGGACCGACTGGGGCATGGTGCATCCCATTAGTAAGTGCCTAGAGGAGAAGGGAGTCCATTTACTTCCCCCGGTCCAGTTTCCTAACAAGTCCTTTCCCCTTCATGGACTCTGCACCGGCCAAAATGCTCTGCACATGGAAGCGTAAGTACACATTGCATTCTCCAGCTGGTTTGTGAAGCACCTGAATTTGCACATTAGACTAGTGTAGGAATGGGGAGCCAGGAAGAAGCAGGAAGAAGAGGGGATTGAGCCTTTTCTTAGTATTTTAATCACCTTCTTAGACTTCCAACAGAATGGTAACTTGTCCAGCAGGAAGGAGCCTTTGCAATTATCCCAGAATTCTAGATTTAATTTCATGCTGTCGGTTGCCGCCACATGCTTTCTGATGTGCTCCAACTCAGCTGTCCCGTGCCACTGGATCTGCTCCCACGCACGGCCACTTTACTGCTAACCCAATGAGCTGCTGCCCAGTTATAGAGTCACTGCGATTTGTGTCCTCCAAAGCATTATCAGATAATCCTCTGCATTAAAAATAGATTTGACACTTCAGGAGAAATGTGAAAAAAAAAAAGAAAAAAAAAGAATCTATTAACAATCAGTATGCCCCAACATATATGCTAAGCAGCACTCTGTGTTTCCTCATGGTTGCCTATTTTAACGGAGCTTCTTCTACAAACACAGTGAAAACACAGATGTCTAAATGTTGGTAACTAAATTCAGTATGGCATTAAAATCCTAGACATAATCTAACAATATGATTTTCTTCCTCCCTTTTGAATGAGTTGAAATATGATCTAGTTTTCTTCATTCTCAATATTTTATAGGTGTTTTTCTTGAACCTACTTAAAATAAGGTTTATACAAACTAACACATTACCATGTCTAGCTCTAGTGAAGAAAATTTCATGTGGATCGTATGCTGAAGTATAAATAAAGGTAAATGCATAGGGCTTATGAATATAGCAAAAACAATAATTCCTGAGAAAACAATCTCCTGTCTGTAACCGATTACTTGGTATAGTGCCTGGAACATACCCTAACAAAACCTACTGCTGTTAATTCCAATTTATAGCAACTCTACAGGACAGAGAATTGTCTCAGTGAATTTTCCTGGCTGAAATCTTTGCAGAGGTTGGCTACATCTATCTCCCAAAGAGCAGCTTGTGGGTTCAAAGGATTGACCTTTTGGTTAGGCGCTGTGATAGTTAAGGTTGTGTGTCAATTGATTGGGTCATGCTTCTCAATGCTTTGGCGGTTAAGAAGTAGCCAATCCCCTATGATGAGATCTAAACTAGATATAATCGACTCCATGATGAAATCTTCCGGCAGCCAACTGAAAGGGACTTTCTTTGTGGCCTGCTACCAACATATATGGACAGTGGCAAAGCTGGTGTCCGGCCCCATCATCAGATCACCAGCCCTCTGGACTTGAGCTAGTGGCGACTACCTGCCAACACTAGGGTTGTCATTCACCTGCTGACCTGGGTGGGATTCATTTGCCTCTAGTCAGAAGCCTGCTGGCTGAGCTGCTAATCTTGGGCTCATCAGCCCCTGTGACTATGTGGGTCAGGAGAAGCATCTAGCCTGATATCTGACCCGTGGACTTGGAACTTGTCCGCTTCTACAGCCGTGTGAACCATTTCCTTGTGATACATATGTATACAGACATATGTAAGCATCATTCGTTTTGCTTCTTTAGCGAACCCAGCCTAAGACAGTAGCTGAGTGCTCAACAACTGTGCCACTAGGCTCCTCTGTGTGGAATACATCAACTACATACAGTTAATAAATGGCTGAGCCTTTATTTCTTAGGGAATCACCACACAGTGTCTTTCTGACTAGATTATGGCTCCAACAGGAAGAGTTTCAGGGATTCTAATTTTTAAAATATGAACAAACAAACTTGCTTAGAGAAATAAGTTTTAATTTATATACTTAGTACAATTCTATTTGTAAAATTCATTGTCTTGTCATACATTTATTTCAAAGTCAAATCCTTTCAGGACAGGCTTTCTTGAATTGCCCACAATTTCTTCAGCCGATCTCAGGGTGTGGAACAGTGCTTGACACTGTCAAGATAAAAGTCCAAGAGGTAGAAATCTTGTTGCAGTGGGTAGCTGTTTTCGTCTAACACAAAAAGGCTCTGAATTTTCAGCAGGCAAGGCGCTCCGCTGAGTGCCAACAAGGCGTGGAGCAAGTCTGCTGCCACCATCCCATAGGTGATGCCTGAGGAAGGTACTGTGGAAGATCAGAACACACACACACACACACACACACGCACGCACGCACGCACGCACGCACACACACATGCACAGTTGTTAATGTCGCTCCCCGGTGGAGGGCAACACAAACATTGAAAGGCGTCATTATTTCCAGTGACTTCTCTAGTTCCAAACCCATCTTAATGTTCTCTTCTAGTTACAAGTTGCTAAATGAATCCTAGAACAGTGGCAAGCAATTACTCCTGTGCATGAAAATAAACTACAATAATATGACATAGTTATGACTCAAAACAAACAAATGAAACCCACTGGCATTGAGTCAATTCCAACTCAGAGCCACTCTCTGTTGCCCAATAGGACAGAGTAGAAAGCCTTGTCTTCTCCCTTGGAGCGGCTATTGGATTCAAACTGATGACCTTGTGGTTATCAGCCCAACATGTAAATCATAATACCACCAGGACTCTATAAGCACAAGATATTACTAGAAGAATTTGAGAACTGTAGTGACCCAGAAGTAGCCATGAGAACAACAAAATCTGAATCCAACTCAGTATCTGGCAAAATTGATTTGCCTTTTCTCCTCTGCCTCCAAGAATGGCCGAGGAGCGTCATGCAGATATAAATTCTATTCACCTCAGGATCTACTGTTGTATACATAATGTTCTCATTCAAGGAAAAAAAATCACTAGATACATAAAAATCAAGAGAAAGCCTCTACTATGAAGGAGCAGAGCAATCAATAGAATCAGATTAGCTCATATGCTTACAGAGTCTGAGGTTAATAAGGGCAGATATAGTTTGATCATCTGACACGTGAATTCTTGGTCACCAGCTATGTCTAATAGCATAGTTGAAGATTTTCAAATCTACTCCTTCAGTGGACTACTCTCAGGTTTATAGTGTTATACATTCATTCAGTGACTTAGGATACGCCTAAGGCTTTAATATTTTACTTACAAACCGGGAAGTTAGAGTCAGGGGCTATTATGTGCTTCCCTCTTGTCATATACCGAGACAGATGTACAAGTGCTACCATCCAATTTACATATGTGTGCAGTTTTATATAGGCTGGATTCCCCTGATTTTGTACTGGCTAGAAAATCTGAACGTAACAGGTAATGGTTCGTCTAACAACAACTTCTTGACACAGCGTTGCTGTTTTACCTATGATTCTGTTGAGGCATTCGGGAGAGATGTTGAGGAGGATCTTCTCCATCAGCTGTGATCCCACTTGAATACAAACACGAGAGTTCCCATCAGTTACAGTCATTAAAGCTGGCCTAAACACAAAACAAAAACACAGCACGTGACCTTCAAGAAATGTTTTCAAGGGAAAGAAATACTTCTACGTAATATAATTTCAAACAGCACTGGAATTTTAAAAACCGTGTTGTGTTTTTTGTTAAAGTTGACACGGTAAATTAGACTACCAATGAAACCTTCAACAGAAAGTTGTTCAGTGGCAGCACTGAACATTTTTCACAATGTGTCAACATTCCCTTGTCTTCTGGTTGTTTCGTTTGGAGCACTGCACCTTCCCTCCCCCTTATCTTCTAATGCTTGCTCTAGAATAGATGTTGACACTCTGGTCTCACACTGATGATCTGTAGTTGTGTGTGGTACTAACTAGTAATATCTTTTACTTTGTGTGCCTCTACTATTTCCTAAGAGAGGATCACAGGGACAGTTTTAATGCAGGGCTTAAAGAGAATCACAGGGGAAGAGTCTCCGGGAGTCCTCTGATCTCTATTGGTCTAGAAAGCCTGGCCTTTTTTAAGAACTTGAGGTTTGCTCTACGTTTTCCTCCCATTCTATCTAGGATTATTTATTGTGACCCTGGTCAGGTGAGTCAGTCGTGGTAGCCAAGCACCATCTAGTTCTAGTCTCGTGGCAGAGGAAGCCATGGCTCGTGTCGGCTATCAAATCGTTATACTTTTGTCTCCTCTGAGATCTTGTTTCTTTCTTATTCTTTTGCACCTTTAGACGTCCTAGATGGCCACTTGTAAGCTTCTAAGACCCAAGACATTACTTGCCTCACTGGGATGCAGCACATGAACTTTGTACCTGTATTATGCTAAATGACTGAGCTGTCTCATGACATTTCGTTTCTAAGCATTCAAACCTAGAAAACCAGTCTTGTAAGGTGTTGGTTATGTCTGAGAAGATATAATAGTGTTTTCAATATATAAATGTGCCTGTACTTAAAAATATTTCTATCCATGCACACGTAGGTATATATCTGCACCTCCCCATGTACTGATGTCTATATGTACATATATATGTGACCTTATTCTCATTTGTTGATTTTGATTGTTGTTGCCGAATTATATGTCAAATTCCTTAGTACAAGGAGCTTTTCCCAAAGTGCTTCTTGGTCACATCATTTACTTTGGCCAAGCTGTGTGTGTTAGACAGGGTTCTCTAGAGAGATAAAACCAAATTCCTGATAGTTTAAAATATTTATTTATAAAGATAATTAGATATGTAACGAGAAATGAACTGTTAAATCATATACAGATAAATATACAATACAAGAAATAAACAGTTA